ATCCTAAATAAAGCCTTCAGACTAGAGTCCACCAAATGAAAAAGGAATTGTGGCCAGACAAATCTGCTCAGGTGAATCCCTTTGCTGGAGCAGAGAAATGCTGGGGGCTGGATGAAGCAGGAGCTCCACACCAGCCTCACTTTTCATCCAGAGAAACCACAAAATGAATCCTGCAGGACAGAGTTCACCAGGTGAAAAAGGACCTGTGGCCAGACAGATCTGCTCAGGTGAATCCCTTTGGTGGAGGAGGACTGTCACTGTTAGATTTTCTGGAAAAATCTCTTTGCCCCGGATTTTGCTCCTGGGAAGCTGAGAAGCCTCAGAGAAAAAAAGAAACCAATCATTATCTGATTTGCTTCTCCTGTGTTTTGCTGCTTTGGAATGTGTTTGGACATTGTTTACCAACTGGTCATTGTTTCATTGGTTTCATGTGAATTGTTTTTACTTAATGACCAATCACAGTCAGGCTGTGTTTGGACTCTGGAAGGAGTCAGGAGTTTTTCATTATTATCTTTTAACCTTCTGTCTGTATCCTTTCTCTATTCTTTAGTATAGTTTACTATAGAATTCTTTAATACAATAAATAATATAATATAATAATAAATTAGCCTTCTGAGAACATGGAGTCAGATTCATCATTTCCTCCCAACGACAGGGGACCCTGAACATACCACAGATCATCCCAACCCTCTGAGCCACCATGATAGTATAGGGATAAAATAATAAATTAGCCTTCTAAGAACATGGAGTCAGATTGATCTTTCCTTGCCTTTGTCAGGGTGCCCTGAGTACAAGAGAGGACATTTCTGGGAGCTCCAAAGCAATGCAGGATGCTGTGAGGCAGATGATGAACGATCCCTCCCCAGCACTGCAATGATCAGCCTATTATTAAAGGAGATCCCTGGTGTCCATCAATCACAAAGCAATTCCCAGCTCCCACAGCATCCAGCTCCAGGGGGGAAGGTGAAGGTGCCTCTTCAGAGCCTGGGGAACACTGGATAACAACCAGTTCCTGATGCTTAGGAAATGATGTTCAGTGACCAACACAATAAATAGAGCTCAGAGAGGAGGAGGGGGACAAGGGGACAATTCCAAGGCACTGGATGTGCAAGTTTGATGGAGTTTGCTTAGGAGGGGAGGCTGGGGCAGGTGATTAAATGATTCCCTTGGATCTGGCTGCAACTGTAATCCATTACCTCATGGAATTAAAAAAAACCCCAATCCTTGTAAGTCACAGAGTACAACACAATTCTTCTTCAGGCACAGCTGACCCTGTACTGGCAGGGGAAAAATGCCAGAGGTGGAAGATCCAACCCCGTGGGAAGGGCTGGAAGGAGCTTTAGGGGAGCCACAGGCAGTGCTGGGAGCAGGACTGGCAAGGGCAGGGAGGAAAACAGCACCTGAGCCCTGAGACAGCACAGCCAACGTGAGTCCTGAGCAGGCTCAGCCCAGGGACAGCTTTGTCACCTCTGTGGGGACACTGGGAACGTGAACATCGTGATCAAGAAAATCCAAGTCATGGTGTTCTCTGCCACCACCTGTTTGGACTGATGCAGGCAGGGAAAATATAAAATATCAATGTTTTCAGAACATCCATCCGTGCCATCGATGCCTGCTGTTACAGAAATCCATTTCCACAGGTTGGGAAAATCATGTTAAACTAGAAAACTAAAAAAAAAAAATATTCCTTAGGGGAAAGTACAAATATAAATTGATTGGGTAGAGCCACCTTTGCAGGAGCTCAATCCCAGTTTTTCCAGGCCTTGCTCACTGAATCCTACAGGGATTGGATTCTTTGTACCCAAGTTTTGGGTTCTGGTGATATTTCCATTTCCCAAAAATCCCATTTTTAAGAACACCCAGCACTTTTGGCACGTCCAGCTCTGGATCTGATCTGCAGGGCTTGCCATGGGCACAACATCTGCTCCACCCTCAGAGCACCGTGGGGAATAAGAGCAGGAGAAATGAAGTGTTGGGGTGGATTTGGGTGCCAGAAGGTCCCTAAATCAGCCCTACAGTTCTGGAGAGAAGGATCCAAGGGATGGTGGCCACAAACCACCTCCTGCCCATGATTTAGGGGCTGCAAAGCACCCCCTGCAAGGTTTGGAGGCTGCAGACCAGCCCCTAGCCAGGACTTAGGCACAGCAAAGCACCCCCTATCCAAGATTTAGAGGCTGCAGAGCACCCCCTGCAAGGTTTAGGGGCAGCAAGCCACCCCCTGCCCAACATTTAGGGGCTGCAAAGCACCCCTGTCCAAGATTTAGGGAATACAAACCACACCCTGCAAGATTTAGGGGCTGCAAAGCACCTCCCTATACAATATTTAGGGGCTGCAAACCGCCCTCTCTCCAAGACTTAGGGGCTGCAAAACTCCCTTGTCCAAGATTTAGGGGCTGCAAACCACCCCCTATACAAGATTTAGGGGCTGCAAACCACTCCCTGCAATATTTAGGGGCAGCAAAGCACCCCCTGTCCAAGATTTAGGGACTACAAACCACCCCCCTATACAATATTTAGGGACTGCAAACCATCCCCCTATACAATATTTAGAGGCTGAAAACCATCTCCCTGTACAATATTTAGGGGCTGCAAAGCAAGATTTAGGGGCTGCAAGATTTAGGGGCTGCATAGCACCCCCTGTCCAAGATTTAGGGACTACAAACCACCCCCCTATACAATATTTAGGGACTGCAAACCATCCCCTATGCAATATTTAGGGACTACAAACCACCCCCCTATACAATATTTAGAGGCTGCAAACCACCCCCTATACAAGATTTAGGGGCTGCAAAGCACCCCCTGAGAGATTTAGGGGCTGCAAAGCACCCCCTGTCCAAGATTTAGGGACTACAAAGCACCCCCCTATACAATACTTAGAGGCTGCAAACCACCCCCTATACAAGATTTAGGGACTGCAAACCATCCCCTATGCAATATTTTAGGGACTGCAAAGCACCCCCTGCAAGATTTAGGGGCTGCAAAGCATCCCCTGCAATACTGAGGGGCTGCAAAGCATCCCTTATACAATATTTAGGGGCTTGCAACTTGCAGAGCACCCCCTGCAAGATTTAGGGGCTGCCAAGCCCCTCTGGAGCACCCTGAGGATGGACATTCCACCCCTCTATGGGTTCATCACTTGAGAGCTGGATGTGACCCTTGTGGACCTCTCCAAACTCAGAATATTCTGGGATTTCTGTATAAAAATGCCTTGAGTTGGATTTATTCAATCTCATGGGTCACAAGCCACCAATCCATCCAACCCCTCTTCCCATCTCCCAAAATCTGATTCCTCCCTTGTCTGCTCCTCCAGGGCCTCATCTCTTTGGGCATCAACCCCTGGACCTAAATGTTGCTTTTTTCCCCCAAAGCAGAGCTCTGTGAGTGGCTGTGGAGCAGGGTGAGGAGATGTCACAGGGTGTCACAAGGTCAGGAGATGTGCAAACCATCCCTTCCACTGTGCTCCTGTGAATTTTCACACACTTGGGGCAGGGCAGACTCAATTTGAGGCAAAATAAGCAAAAATCCACAATTTTGTCCTCACTTTGAATTGTTGTCACAAAAATCTCCTTGTGCTTTTGAAAACCTGGTGAAAAATCATGGGAAAAGGTGATTTTAAGCAATTTCAACCTTAGGTCCATGGAAGTGAGTTGGTTTTTTTCTCCTAATTTCTAAGAAATCTTCCCATGCAAAACACAGAAGCAAATAAGCACCATCATCATCTTGCATTTTCAAATACCAGAACCAAGAAATTCATCAAAGAGCAGGAGCAATTATCCTCATTTGACTTCTTTTCAAGGCTGGCCAGAAAATAATTGTAAGGAAAAAATGGTATTTAAAACTATCAAACAGCCAGAGCATAAATAGGAACTGATTACTGCAGTAATGACAAAATAAAATGGTAAGAAGAATAAAATAGGCAAATTAATAATATTCTTTTCCTTCACATGTAATAAACTGGCTCCACTTGGCCTTTTGTCTTTGCTAAAGTGGATTAAAGTCCCAGTAAAAAGAGATTTCCACCAAAGGAATCCGGCTGCAGTTCAGGATTTTTCCAGTAAATTGAGCAGGAAATTTCTTTTTTTTTTTTTTTTTGTGCTTGAGCTTCTCCAGCCTTGGAGGTCCCCCCTGTAAAAGGGGTCTGGAAAACATCAGCAGCTCCCAGTAAAATGCAGGACCAAACTTTTTGGTGTTGCTGCTGAAATTCCAGAAGAGTTCAAGGAACCTTTTCAGCAAATCCTCGTGAGGAATCCCAGAACAGAGTCATGGAATGGTTTGGGTTGGACCTTAAATCCCATCCCAGCCTCTGCAGGGACACCCTCCACCCCCCAGGCTGCTCTGAGTCCATCCAACACTTGGACATTTCCAGGGATGTCTCAAACACAGGAACCTGGCCCTCAAATATTCCCACCTACACCTCATTTCTGCACCTCCAGGAGCCAGGAAAAGTTGGGCCCAAGGCAAAGCTCTCCTCAAAGGGTATCACATGCTTGTCCTCATCCAGGCATCTGGGAATCCCAAATGGATGTTCCTGCCTCCAAACCAGAGCATTTTATTCCAGCCAGCTCTTTCAAACAGCAAGGAAATGGAATTCAAGCCCATTTTTCAGCTATTTAAGAGAATGCCTTTGCACTTCAATTCTCAAGATTATTATAAAAATATTGATTTCTGTGCACACACAGAGAAATAACTCATTAAAAATCATTAAACTCATCTCCTCATTAAAAATCCAAAGTGGGATGTTAACACTTCACCTGGTGAAATCTACCTTAAAAAAACCAAAAATCCTCCTAAAACACAATTATTCAAAGCTGAGGCCTTACAAAGAGCACCAAACTGAAAGAAATCCTTCATTAAACTCCTAATTAAGTACTCAGCACTGAAGTATTGGGCCAGAGGTGGTGCAGGAGGGCTCCCAGACCATGGGATGCTCCAGCTGGACGGACAGACAGACAGTGAAATGCAGAAGGGAAATGCTCTCCCAAGGAATCAAAGGTGCTTACGCAGCTATGGAGATGTTGGCTGCTGACATGGGGCTCACTTCTGCCACCTCCTTGGCCTTCTGCAGGGCCAGCTTCTGGTTGGTGGCTTCCTCCATCTCCTCCTCGTCCTGGGGCACAAAAACAAGAGAAAACAGGGAATAAATCATGGAATAACAACAAGCAGAGCTCCTCTGGAGTGTGGTGCTGCCACTGGTGGGCTGCAAGGACTCCCTGTTCAAGGACTCCCTATTTAATTTAGGGCTGCAAGGACACAGGAATTTCAATTTAGGGCTGGAAGGACACAGGAATTTCAATTTAGGGCTGCAAGGAATTTCAATTCAGGGCTGCAAGGACACAGGAATTTCAATTCAGGGCTGCAAGGACACAGGGATTTTAATTTAGGGTTTCTAAAACGCAGGAATTTCAATTTAGGGCTTCTAAAACACAGGGATTTCAATTTAGGGCTACAAGGACACAGGAATTTCAATTTAGTGCAGCAAGGACACAGGGATTTCAATTTAGGGCTTCTAAAACACAAGAATTTCAATTTAGGGCAGCAAGGACACAGGGATTTCAATTTAGGGCTTCTAAAACACAGGAATTTCAATTTAGGGCTGCAAGGACACAGGAATATCAATTTAGGGCAGCAAGGATTTCAATTTAGGGCTAAATTTAGCCCTAAATTTCAATTTAGGGCTTCTAAAACACAGGAATTTCAATTTAGGGCTTCTAAAACACAGGAATTTCAATTTAGGGCTGGAAGGACACAGGGATTTCAATTTAGGGCTTCTAAAACACAGGAATTTCAATTTAGGGCTGCAAGGACACAGGAGTTTCAATTTAGGGCTGGAAGGACACAGGAATTTCAATTTAGGGCAGCAAGGACACAGGAATTTCAATTTAGGGCTTCTAAAACACAGGAATTTCAATTTAGGGCTGCAAGGACACAGGAATTTCAATTTAGGGCAGCAAGGATTTCAATTTAGGGCTAAATTTAGCCCTAAATTTCAATTTAGGGCTTCTAAAACACAGGAATTTCAATTTAGGGCTGGAAGGACACAGGAATTTCAATTGAGGGCAGCAAGGACACAGGGATTTCAATTGAGGGCTTCTAAAACACAGGAATTTCAATTTAGGGCTGCAAGGACACAGGGATTTCAATTTAGGGCTGCAAGGACACAGGAATTTCAATTTAGGGCTGCAAGGACACAGGGATTTCAATTTAGGGCTGCAAGGACACAGGAATTTCAACTGAGGGCTTCTAAAACACAGGAATTTCAATTTAGGGCTTCTAAAACACAGGGATTTCAATTCAGGGCAGCAAGGACACAGGAATTTCAATTGAGGGCTGCAAGGACACAGGGATTTCAATTGAGGGCTGGAAGGACACAGGAATTTCAATTTAGGGCTTCTAAAACACAGGAATTTCAATTTAGGGCTGCAAGGACACAGGGATTTCAATTTAGGGCTGCAAGGACACAGGAATTTCAATTTAGGGCTTCTAAAACACAGGAATTTCAATTTAGGCCTGCAAGGAATTTCAATTTAGGCCTGGAAGGACACAGGAATTTCAATTTAGGGCAGCAAGGACACAGGAATTTCAATTTAGGGCTGGAAGGACACAGGGATTTCAATTTAGGGCTTCTAAAACACAAGAATTTCAATTTAGGGCTGCAAGGACACAGGAATTTCAATTTAGGGCTTCTAAAACACAGGAATTTCAATTGAGGGCTGCAAGGACACAGGGATTTCAATTTAGGGCTTCTAAAACACAAGAATTTCAATTTAGGGCTGCAAGGACACAGGGATTTGAATTTAGGGCTGGAAGGACACAGGAATTTCAATTTAGGGCTTCTAAAACACAGGAATTTCAATTTAGGCCTGCAAGGAATTTCAACTTAGGGCTTCTAAAACACAGGGATTTCAATTGAGGGCTGCAAGGACACAGGAATTTCAATTCAGGCCTGCAAGGACACAGGAGTTTCAATTCAGGGCAGCAAGGACACAGGGATTTTAATTTAGGGTTTCTAAAACACAGGAATTTCAATTTAGGCCTGCAAGGAATTTCAACTTAGGGCTTCTAAAACACAGGAATTTCAATTTAGGGCTTCTAAAACACAGGGATTTCAATTTAGGGCTGCAAGGACACAGGAATTTCAATTTAGGGCTTCTAAAACACAGGAATTTCAATTTAGGGCTGCAAGGACACAGGGATTTCAATTTAGGGCTTGTAAAACACAGGAATTTCAATTGAGGGCAGATTTTCTTGCAAGGAGCCCCCAGTCTGGTGCAGGTTGAGGTGAGAATGGCAAGGTTTGGCCAAGAGGGTTTTTTACCCTCACAAACGTTCTTGGCTCTGCTGGGTCTCCTCTCAGAACACGGCACTGGTGAAGGAGACTCTGAGGGAGCAGGGATGGGAGAATTCCAGGTGGAATTCCCCATTTATCCCAGAGCTGTGTGTGGAACAACCTCTAAAGCCAATGTCCTGCTGGAACACCTGCACGGGCTCCTAAATCCTCCCTGACCCCCTGCCAAGGGGACTTTTCTGAAACAATAATAAAAAAGGATGGATTTGGGATGGTCCTGCTCCCATCAGTTATTCACACCCACCTCAGATCCCTGAGGACTCAGAAAACAAAAAAAGAACCCTATTAAATGTAGTCTGTGGAGCAAAGGGTTCTGCTCCTGCTTCCTGCATATCCCTGGCTCATGAGGATTTTTAACCTCTGAAGATTGTACCTGGGATTTCTCTCTTCCTACCCAACATGAAAAGCACCACTAAAACACAAAATTAAGGATCTTAATTTAAAAAATAATTACAAAAATTTATTTCAAAAATTTAAAATTTAAGGATCTTAAACATTGAGGCAACAGCAAAACCCAAGGAAACAACCTGGCTCCCCTTCAGTGGTCACCAAAGTCACTTTGCTGGAATTTTCTAACCAAAATAAAGTCAAATCATGGCAGGGTAAGCACAGAGTTCTGGTAGCATCACCAGCATCTCACAAATCCAGAGAAAACCACAGTGAGAGAGCCACAGGTTCTTCTGTCAAACTCCATGGAATGCTCAGGTCTGCCTCTGCTCTCCAGGCTGCTGCTGCAAGCAGTCAGGATTAAAATAATGAGAGCAGACAGATCTCCAGCTTTGGAATAGGAAATTATAGAGATTTATCCACCCTGAATTCCATCTGCATAAACAGCTCCTCGCTCTGCCTTTGGTGCTATTTGCTTCCACTGAACTCATTTGGAAACTGTTTTATTTTTCTCCTTCAGAAGGAAAAAAATTATGGAAAATTGATTTAAAAATCGTTACCATATAAATTTCTTCCTTTTTTTTTTTTTTTTCCCCTTTGCAAATATTTGCAAGTCTATAACCAGGCCTGCATAAAAGACCTGCTGAGCAATTATACAAAGTCAATATTTCTCAGCTGCCAAATTCCAGTATTTTATGGATTTTTTTCCCCATAATTTCCAGTATTTTATTTTTATTTTATGCCAAATTCCAATTTATCAAAGCTCTGGGAGCTCGTTGCCAACCAAGGGTGTTTGGTTTAATCCTGGCCCCCAGCTCAGCCCCAGCTGACACCCCCCTGTCCTTTCCCCCTGCTGGGGTGGGAAAGCAGCAAAGCACCCATGGATTGGGATCAATTCAGTGGATTTGGGGAGGAAAAAGAGAAAGGAATGAATTCCACATTTCCCACCCTGGGTTTTGCCATCCCCAGGGCAGCAGAGCTCCCTCCATGGAGCAGGACTGGGACAGACAGATGTTGTCACCCTGTCCCAGCTGTGTGTCCCCAGGTCCCTGTGCCCCCCAGTTTTTCCCCCTGGACTCTGTGGGGTCGCTGCTCAGCAAGAACAAAACATCCCAGAGTGGTTCCAACACAAATTCTCTTTCCCACACAAATCCCACAGCAGCTCCTGGTTTGTTTTTTTAATTTAAAAAAAAATAAAATTAACTGTGCCCATCACCAATGCAGCAGAAATGTTATCCTCAGGACACAAATTTTATAAGGAATAACACCCCAATTAAAAAATCTTTCAGGTTTTCCTTTCATCCTCCAGGTAAATTCAAATTATTTCTTCCTTTGAGGGATCTCCAGCAGCCTTAAAAACCAAAGGCTGCTGATTTTTCTTTCTCTGCCCCTAAAGCACCAGGTGCAGGTTTTAAAACCTCTTTGAAATGTGTGGTTTCTGCTCCATTCTCCCGGGTGCCTCTGTAATTCTGCTGGATTTCCATCCTGAAGGAGCAGCAAACGCAGCTGTTCCTCCCTCACAACGAGCCCAGCCCTCAGCAGATGTTTGCTTTGTAATATCTCTGTGGCTCCTGCCATGCAGATATTGCAGATGACTCCAAAAATTCGTTGTTTTTTTACCTGATATTTCAAATTCCAGCTCAAACTGTCACCCCCATTTCAGAGATAAAGCTCTTGCCCATAAGGACATCCCTGGTTCATGTCCTTTCTGTTTTCTAGAGGTTTAAATTTTCATTTAAATCAATTTCTCACAGAGTAAAACCCACTTTTGGTGCTACCCATCATGATGTGCATCATTAAAAGTGAATTTTCTTGAATATATCCAGCCAGTTAAAGCCTTTTGCAGAGGAAGGAGGGGGATTTATGGATGCTCAGCTCTGGGTTTGGCCACTCCCTTCAGTCCAGAATTTCTGGGCATCCCTCAAGAATTTTATACAAATTTATATCAAATTCCCACATCCTTCATATATGTTTATATCCTGCTTTTTTCAGGGATCACTGGCAGTGCACAGAGATGAGAAAACACTTTTTGCTTGAAGATATTTATGAAAATAAAGCCTCAGTTGTAGTGGGTTTACCCTCCAGTTTAGTGAGGATGAAGCAGGAGCTGCTGGATGTCACCAGAGACATTCTGCATGACCAGCAGAGAGATCTGAAAAGCAAATTCTGGGCACAATTGTAAATTCTGCTCTGAATAACTGAACAGGAAGAAAAACCTGTCAATATATAAAAGAAACCCCTAAAGGTGAGGGAATCCAAAGGGATTGAGGAGAGTTCTCAGGAATCATTAAAAATCAGGTGGCAGAGTTTGAGTCAGGGCAAGACCAGAACAGGAAGAGCAGGAGAGGGAGCTGGGAGCAGATTTTTTATAGATTGAAAGCAAAGGTGGTGATTATTTATTTTTTCCCCCCCAAAATGAGTCATTCCTAAGCACTGGTGAGTTCTGTAGCAGCCACAGGATGATCAAGCTGCAGTTAAATATAGCCCCAGCTCTGAGAGCTCCTCTTACAGGTCACAGAGCCCAGAAATGGCCCAAATGCCACATCAAGAAACCCAAATTAGCATCCAGAAGTGGGGAAAGTTAAGATGTTCCAGTCCTGAGGCAGAGAAGTTTTCTGCCTTCCCTAAACAGAGGCAATTTCAATTGCTTCTGGTTCTCCCACATTAAATTCAGCACTGATCTCAATTAATTTCACAGAATAAATGTCAGGAGAGTCTCCTGGGACCAACTGACTCCTGAGTAACTTCCTTGTATCTCTGGGCCATTTTTGGGGCTTGCATGATCATATTTACTCAGCAGGAAATCCCTCATTCTCCAGGTATGTGTCTAATTGAATTTTAGCTTTTTCCTCTTCTTTTGAAAGCCCCAGTGATTTGGGGGAGGGGATCATAAATAAAATTAAACAAAAAAAAAAAAAAAAAATCCCCAAGAGAGTTTTTGGAGAAGCTTTATGATTTGGCAATGCTGTTGAATCCATCAATGTTTAATTAGACTTTATAAACATCCCCAAAGTCAGGTTTCTAACCCTCCCTGTCAGCTGCTGAAATATTCACAAGAAAGCACTTAAAGGATGAAAAAAGAAGGAGGATGAGCTTCATTATCCAAGAACTGTGCTGGGCCTCATCTCCCCTCTTAGCACGTGCAAGGGATGCCCATAAATCTGGGAGGATCTTTGCCTCCAGGCTGAAGATTTCTGTGAGCACAGAAACAGCTGAGCTGCTGAAAGGGGGAAAATTCCCATTAAAAAAAAATAATAATGAAAGGAAAAACTCCCAAAACAACAGAGAGCCAATAAAGACAGCCATGAGCAGCATTTTAAGGGATGCAGAACACAGAATTGGGACAAAAATAAAATAATAAAAATTTATAAAATTTTATTTATAATAATAAAAAATTACTTATATTAAAATTATTTATAATAAAATATTTATAATAAATCTATTCATAATAATGAAATTATTTATAAAAATTACTCATAATGAAATTTTTTATTACAATGAAAAATAAGATTTTTTATAATAACAAAAATATTTATTAAAATTATTTATAACTATATATTAACTATATAATTATTTATAATTATATATAATTATATATAATATAACATAATAATAATTATATATAATAATAGATAATATAATATTTATTATAAATTATTTATATTTATTATAAAATATTTATAGTAATAAAAAATATTTTTCACCCAGGAGCCACCAGGCTATTTGGAGGGTTTGTTGGGAGAAAGCTCCAGAAAAGCTGGAGCCATTCCTGCAGGAAAAGGGGAGATGAGAGAGCAGCTCAGCCACAGCAGGGATGTGGATTTTGAGGGGAACCTTTGGCTGGTTTGCTCTGCAGCAGCTGGAGGAGGGTGGGAAATGGGGAAATCTCCGTGTCCCTCAAGTGTGGAGCTGCACTGGGGACCCAAAGAGCCAAAAATGCTGGGAAAGCTCGAGTGCAGCAGTGCCAGATCCACCCCCAGAGCTCAGCACCACATCTGTGTGGCTTTTGAACAATTCCATGGGATGGTTTGGGGTGCAAGGACCTCAAACCCATCCAGGACACCTCCCACTGTCCCAGGCTGCTCCAGCTCCTTCCCTTCCTTAAAAATAAAAAGCACCTGTGCCTGCTGCTGCCTCAGCACGTGGGCAGAGAGCTCAGCCACTGGCAGGAGGAAAGAAATTAAAGTTTTAAAACACAACCACCCCAATGGGGACACTGCTGCCTGTGCCCCAGCAGGTCACTGTGACTGCTGCTGATGGCAGCAGCACAGGAATGGGTGAGAAAAGCTAAAAATGTGCAAAAATCCCTTCAAATCTCCTCATAAATCCACCAGATATGCCAAGAAATCAAAATTGTGTAATAACCCAAACACCAAGGGCAACAGTCACAATCCTCCTGCACAACCCTGGCTGAGCTGTTCTCAGTGTAAACATTTTCCAACAGAAATCTGTGTCCACATCCTGGCAGTGTCACTGCCATCCTGTCACTGCCATCCCCTGCCAGGACCTGGCTTTGTGCCTCTGACTTCTCTTACACCTGGGGAGAGGCAGGAATCTCCCAACATCTCCCCTGAGTGCTCACAACAGCCTCTGTAAATTGTTTTGCCTGGAGCTGATTGGGAAATTTTAATTCTTTAATCCATCACCAACCTCAGCAAGGTAAAGGACACAAAGTGTGAGACCAAACTAAACACAAAATATTCCCTGCAAGTTGAAATAAAGAAACCTGCACGGGAATAAACCTCTCTGCAGTGCAAGCTGGTCACCAGAGGGGAAAAAGCAGCACCACAGAGCCTGAATTTGCTCCTGTCTGAGCTTCCAATCAGCCAAAAAAACTGTTAATTGCTTCTCCTCTGCTCTTGGAAACAGAAAATGTGAGATGAGCAATGCCCACCCTGGGATAAAGCAAATACAAAATATTCACTCCAACCAAAAATAAAGCAAGCTGAAGGGGAATAAACCTCTCTGCAGTGCAAACTGGTCACCTGAGGGGCAGCAGGTGATGCCTCAGGTTTTAGATTTTCTATTTTTCACATCCTGTGCTGCTTTAGTGTGTGGGTCTGAGCTTCACATCAGGGCATGGTGAGCTCTGTGCACAGAGCAGGGAGACAAAACAATTCCTGCTCCAGCTGGGCACCAAGGACAAATGACCCAAATCTCAGCCCAGGAGCACAAACCCCGTGGGCTGGAGAGAGAAAAACAAGCAGGGTGGGACTGCAGGGGCTAAAGCTGGAATGGGACAATGAACTGCAAGATGCAAATGGAGCAGAACAGATAAAAATGTGAGATCTCATGACCAAGCTCCCTTTTCCTCCCATCTTGGAGCCATCTGGGTGCTGCCAGGGTGTGGCCTTTGAAGGTCCTTCAATAAATCTCCTCTTTATTCCCTTTAATTCCATCTGGCCTCTGTCCCAGCTCCTTCAGGCACCCCAGGGCTCCAGGGGACAGCTCAGGGGGTCACCCTTGCTTTGGAATTGATAATAAAATGCAATGTCCCACCTACCTTGGTCAGCTCCTGGGCGTTGGCCAGGTTGTCCACAGCGATGGCCAAGAAGACGTTCAGGAGAGTATCTGTGGGAGCAGCTAAGGAAAAGCTCTTCACATGGCACAGGAGCAATCATTCCCTCCCTGCTGCCCCTCTTTCCCCATTTTGTGTTTTATGGATTGATCTCTGGAAGCTTTGCCACCATTCCCAGCTCACCCACCCTGCCCAGAGCTGGCCCTGCAGGGCTGGACACACATTTGTGTCCCCAGCACCCTCTGCAGAGGGGACAGGACCTGAGGGGGGTCACCCCATCAGAGGGGAAGGGTGGGACCTCCTGCTGCCCCCAGAGGCACCACAGCCCCTGGTTTTCCACCCCTCCAGCCCAGAAATGCAGATTTCAGCCTCATTTTCCCTTCATGAAGATTTCAGCCTCATTTTCCCCTCATGAAGATTTCAGCCTCATTTTCCCTTCATGCAGATTTCAGCCTCATTTTCCCCTCATGCAGATTTCAGCCTCATTTCCCCCTCTTGTTTAAAAGGACAACCAGTGGAGCTGCAGGAAATGGGTCATTTTAAGCCAACATTTACATTTTTATACACACAGAGCTGTATAAAGCGCCACGGAGAGCATGGAAAAGTGAATCTCAGGTCATTGCTGCTGGGAGGAAACCATCCTGGCTTATCTCACTGGAGTCAGGCTGGCACTGGGGCACCCCAGCCATGCTGAGCCCCACACAGAGCTCAGCAGCCCCTAAGCCCAGCCCAGAGCCCAGCTAAGCCAGGGCAGTGCCCACACCAGCCTAGGCCTCTCAGCAGAGCTCTGCATCCCATCCCTGAGACAGAACACTGGCCTGGAATTATTTATTCCTCTTTTACTTTCATTTTTCCACTTAATGATTTGAGCTTTTGCTGAGTTTATTGTTGTTATTCCAGCCTTGTGGCTGCAAAACAGCCCCAGAGTAGCCATAAATCAGCTGCCTTTGCACAGGGAAGGAGGGCAAGCAGAGCAAAACACAGCAAAACCACTGTCCCAAAGGAGAGGAGAAAATGTGTTTGGCTCTTGCACATCCCCTGGGGACAGAGAGTCACTCACTGCAGAGCTCTGTTTGCTCCTCCAGGTAGGAATGTGCAGGGGAATGGTTCATAAACCCACTGAAAGGACTGCAGGAGCTTTAGGAAACTAAGCCAGGTGTTTGCAGGAGGCTCCAGGAGAGCTGGGGAGTGACTGGGGACAAGGGATGGAGGGACAGGACCCAGGGAATGGCTCCCAGTGCCAGAGGGCAGGGCTGGATGGGATATTGGGAATTGGGAATTGTTCCCTGTGAGGGTGGGCAGGCCCTGGCACAGGGTGCCCAGAGCAGCTGGGGCTGCCCCTGGATCCCTGGCAGTGCCCAAGGCCAGGCAGGACAGGGCTGGGAGCACCTGGGACAGTGGGAGGTGTCCCTGCCATGGCTGGGTGACCTCTGAGCTCCCCTCCAACCCAAACCATCCTGGGATTTGCTGTTCCCTGCCTTGAGCTGTGGGGTGGGAGGGCAAGGGCAGGCCTGGAATGAGGCTGGTGAGGGGGGAAGGCAGAAACCCCTCCTGGGAGGGCAGCACAAGTGAGCCACATTTCTCCTTTACCAAGACATCAATTCCCCATCTCCTTTGAGGGTGGGGGGCTGAGGGCACCCCTGGGCTGTGCTGGGTGTTTGGGTTTTTGTCCTCTGGGGTGCTTCCAACAGTCTGGAAACACTTCCAAGCCTCCTATCAGGGAATAAATGTCTCAGCAGGACAACTGCCTCCCTCCCCCTGCCTCCCACACCCTCTGGAAGTGGATCATGTAACAAAGGCAACCCCTGGAAATGAAATTAATTTCTTTTTATCAGATCAGCCTGGCCTGATCCATTTCCAAGCAGACACAGTCTGGCAGACTCGGGTGTTTCTGCCCCCAAAAAGGTCCCTCAGTCCTCTCTGCAGGCCTGGGGGATTCCCCAATTTCTGCCAAACTGCAGGCTCTGCCTCAGGCTGTGTAACCTGGGTGAGCCTGGAGCCAGGAACCATCTCCTGCCTGGCACCTGAGGGCCAGGGAAGGGCAGCATCCTCCAGGCAGTTCCTGCTTTTCTTCTCAGGCTCCTCTGCAGTTTTTCTTGGAGTTTTTTTTTTTCCTTCTTTTTTATTGTCTCAACAGATGCCTCAATTTATCAATTAAGTGAATAACAGTGAGCCCAGGCATGGTGTAATTTCCTGGAAAATGGGCCAAATCCTGTTGTTACTTTAATCATAAAACTTTCATTAAACCATCTCTGGTTCCACACAGACTCTCTGGAAATGGAAACCTAACATGAGACACTTCCCACTTAGAAAAACAAACTTTTCCTTGCCATGAAAAAGAAAATTTCTCCCTCTCTGTGCTCACAGAACCTCACCTGCAGCAAACTCATCCCAACATGAAGGACTCAGGGAGGATCAAGAACCACACCTGGCACATCCTCCTTCCTTCCTCAACATCCAGTGGTGTCTCAAGGAGCTCAAGGAGCCACCAGCACGGGGCTGTGGGCAAAGGGCATGGAAGAGGCACTGGAGATGTCTGGAGGAACTCAGCAAAAACAGCCCTGGATCCCCTCAGCAGCAGAAGGGAACACAAGAGAGCTGCACCTGATGAGATTTAGGGAGAAGGTGGGTGAGGTTCCCACTCTCCAAATCCCAAATCCACGGCAGGGGCAGCAGATCCCCTCCTCTTGACCATGCCCTGCTCTTTCCCTGGCACTGGAAGCCAAAGGAGCAGGGAGAGGCTCCCTCTGAATTGAAGGTGAGGAAGGGAATTCGTGCCCCGTTCCTCAGGAACGCTGGAGCTCAGCAGCTCAGAGGTGCAAAGTCCCTCCCTCAGCTGTGCTGTCGAGCCTGATTACTGCTTAATCTCATTTCCAAATGCCAAGCCCAGAGGATTTCGAGCTCTCCCTCCCTCCCTGCTCTCCTCTGACCCAGTTTTGCAGAGCCTGGTGTTTCTGGAAGGGCCGTGCTGGCTGCTGTGAGGAGATGTCTGAGCATCACTGCCACAGGAATGGGGTAAATCCTTGGGGACACTCATGTGACAGGCACAGCTCCCACTGCCTGCTCTGCTCGTCCTGTCCCTGCTCCTCATCCTGCAGGACAGAATTTCAGCCAAGGCAAAGGGCTGGAGCACTGCTGTGCCACCCATGGGCACCAATGTCACCGATGGCACCTTCTGTCCCCTCCACTCCAGCTGGAGCAGCCCATTTCTGCAGGAACTCTGTCCTGAGCCCCAGCATTTCCCCCAGTTCACCCCTCCCCTTCTCCTGCATCTCCAGCACAAACAAGACTCCAAGGAAAAGAGGAATGCTGGGACTGTAACCAGTGAGAAGGCCAGGAAATCCTCATGGGAGCTCCTGGCTGGAGCAGCAGCACTGGGAGCTCTCATCCCACTCTGGGATGTTCCCATCCCACTTTGGGACGTTCCCATCCCACTTTGGGACATTTCTCATCCCACTCTGGGACGTTCTCATCCCACTTTGGGACATTTCTCATCCCACTCTGGGACATTTCTCATCCCACTCTGGGACATTTCTCATCCCACTCTGGGACGTTCCCATCCCACTTTGGGACATTCCCATCCCACTTTGGGACATTCCCATCCCACTTGGCAGAACAAACAAAGCAGCCAGGGCTGCCTCAGCTCAGCCACAATTCCTGGGTTTCCTGTTTTAGGGATGCTCCCTCTGGATCCACACAGCTTGTGGCTGCAGCCACAGATCACAGAATCACAGAATCAATCACAGAATCAGTCATTCAATCAATCACAGAATCAATCACAGAATCAGTCATTGAATCAATCACAGAATCAGTCACAGAATCACAGAATCAATCACAGAATGAGTCACAGAATCAGAGAACCACAGGATTACAGGATCAATCACATAATCAATCACACAATCACAGGATCAGTCACTGAATCAATCACACAATCACAGAATTAACCAGGCTGGAAAAGCCCTTTGAGATCAAGTCCAACCTAGACCTGACACCAGGTTGTCACCCGGAGCCACATCCAATCTTTCCTTAAACTCCAGGGATGGGGACTCCAAACCCCCCTGGGCAGCCCCTTCACTGCCCAACCACTCTTTCTGGGAAGAACTTCTCCCTGAGATCCAGCCTAACCCTCCCTGGTGCAGCTCAGGGCTGTGTCCTCACACCAGTGACGCTGTGGCTGCCTGGTGCTGGCACTGGCACAGAGCATTGGCCACCACTGGCACAGGGACAGGGCCACCACAGCCCCTCTGCCCTCCTGGCTCTCCTCCTCACACCCAGCTGCTCCATCAGGGAGCTGCTTTGCTTGTTTGTGTATGAAATATAAAATGTATATAAAATACAGCCTCCTTTCCCAAATCCCATCCTGGTGTCACTCTGTCCCTGCCACCCTGGACCTCTGGGACACACCACCCCTTCCCCAGCAAACACCCTGGGACACTGGGGGATGAAAGCTGCCAGTTTCTTGTTCCCCTTGAGAGATTTCCATCTCTCAGAAGAACAAACCAGACACTTCACGTGCCGAGGCTTGGAGCACTGAACACTCCCAGAAGCTGAAACCCAAGATCCAGAATTAAATTAAATGTGGAAATGAGAGAATTCTGAGCATTTGGGACAGCCCAGCTGGTTAAGGTGCCCTAGACAAAGGCACCAAGAGAATGGAGCTTCATCTCCACCATCATCTGCTCGCCTCCACCAAACCCATCTCAATCCTCCCCTGGCTAAAAACAAACTGTTTGTGAAGATATTCAAGGTCCTGCTCTGACCTGCCCTCAATTACTTCTCCTACAAGCTAAATTAACTCTTAATAGAACATTTTCAAGGCAAAACACAACAATTAAAATGAAATTCCTTTAAATTAAATGAAAAATTCTGACGTTGCCATAAGAAAAGCGACACCAAGTTGGACAACTCACCTCCAGTGCTGTCAGGAGCAAAGCCATGGCAATAATTTGGCTTTTAAAGGATGAAGCTGTGAGAACTGAGGGAAAAATGGGGATTTCCAGCAGTGTGGGTCTGAGAGACGGTCCAGAATTTCCTTCATTTGCCTCATGATCATCACAAGGACCCTGAAGACCCCAACAGGAGCTCTGGCCTGGCTGAGGTGGACGTTTTCTGGATGTTTGGTGATTGCAGGTGTGCTCGCTGTGCCTTCACAGAGCACTGCTGTGAACAGGTTCTGATAAATGGTGGCTCATCCTTGCACACTCACACCTGCCCCACAGGGTCTGATAAATGGTGCCTTGTCCTTGCACACTCACACCTGCCCCACAGGGTCTGATAATGGTGCCTTGTCCTTGCACACTCACACCTGCCCCACAGGTTCTGATAAATGGTGGCTCATCCTTGCACACTCACACCTGCCCCACAGGGTCTGATAAATGGTGCCTTGTCCTTGCACACTCACACCTGCCCCACAGGTTCTGATAAATGGTGGCTCATCCTTGCACACTCACACCTGCCCCACAGGGTCTGATAAATGGTGGCTCATCCTTGCACACTCACACCTGCCCCACAGGGTCTGATAATGGTGCCTTGTCCTTGCACACTCACACCTGCCCCACAGGTTCTGATAAATGGTGCCTTGTCCTTGCACACTCACACCTGCCCCACAGGTCCTGATAAATGGTGCCTTGTCCTTGCACACTCACACCTGCCCCACAGGGTCTGATAAATGGTGCCTTGTCCTTGCACACTCACACCTGCCCCACAGACCGAGGGCTCTCAACACAAGGGCCCATGGATCTCCCCACCTTTTGGCCAGATGCCAACTCCTTTGGATGGAGACTCTGTAAACTGGAACTGTTGAGAGACTTTGGTGAACCCCCATGGACAACAGCGAATCTGTGCCTGGACCATGAGGATTCCACCTCGTTGGTTGTTGTGTTGTGATTTCAGGGTTTACCCCAGAACCTCGGGTCCCTCAGGATAATTCCCTCCCAGGTGTGTCAGTCACCTCTCCTTTCCCCTCCCAGCACTGTCTGTCACTCCTGGCATTCCAGAAGGGCACTGAGTGATTGGCAGATCCAAAAGATGCCCTCTGCCCCTGGGGGGCATTGGGCCATCCAGGTGTCCTTTGTCCCTTTGTCCCTCCCCTCCTGTCCCTGCTTGGTGCCTCCCTGCCCCTTCCCTGCCCTCTCCCCGGGGTTAAAGGAGCAGCAGCCACGGGCTCAGGGAGTTCTGTTGGAGCTGGTGCTGCATTCAGAGGCCTGAGGGCCAGAATAAAGCTCTGGATCCAAACTCTCCATCAGAACCAACTCCTTTGCTTCACCATCACCTTAAAGCTTCTCCACAGAGGGAAACCTGAGCACCACCAGAGCTCCTGCAGGCCTGGACTTGTCTCCAAGTTGCCCAGCTGCAGCACCCAGGCAGCCAAAAGTGTCTGTGGGGTGAAACACCACACACCCAGGCAGCCAAAAGTGTCTGTGGGTGAAACACCACAGTTCTGCTATTTGGTTCAAGGGCCAGACAAGCTCAGGCACGTCCCATGGGGTTATATTGGTAATATTCCCATAGTTGGTAGCTATATTCCCCTTCCCCCCTATTTCTTTCTATCCTTTATTTCCTTTTTCTGATCCCTTGCAATCAATCACATTTGCTGATGGCCCTCAATAAAGGTGCATTTGTTGTGATTAAACTGCCAGTCCCCTGCTGTTTGTCTTGTGCACTTTTGGGATCTGGAAATGAACCATCACAACTCACTTGCCTTAGCATGACAGTGGGGACTGTGGCACCAAGGATGGAAGGATACAGTTCCCAAACAGGGTGAGCACGATGAAGTAGATGGAGGAGAACATTCCGGAATGGACGCCGCCCTGCGACTCTATCCCGTGGTACATCACAGCATTCCAGTCCTCGCCTGTCAGGATCTGCACAGGGCAGGGGGGACACAGAGGTCACTCACAGAAAGGGTCACTCACAGGAAGGGCACTCACAGGAAGATCACTCACAGAAAGGGCACTCACAGGAAGGGGCACTCACAGGAAGGGTCACTCACAGGAAGGGTCACTCACAGGAAGGGTCACTCACAGGAAGGGTCACTCACAGGAAGGGCACTCACAGGAAGGGTCACTCACAGAAAGGGCACTCACAGGAAGGGTCACTCACAGGAAGGGTCACTCACAGAAAGGTCACTCACAGAAAGGTCACTCACAGGAAGGGTCACTCACAGAAAGGGCACTCACAGAAAGGTCACTCACAGGAAGGGTCACTCACAGAAAGGGTCACTCACAGGAAGGGTCACTCACAGGAAGGGTCACTCACAGGAAGGGTCACTCACAGAAGGGTCACTCACAGAAAGGGCACTCACAGAAAGGGTCACTCACAGGAAGGAAGGGTCACTCACAGGAAGGGTCACTCACAGAAAGGGTCACTCACAGGAAGGGCACTCACAGGAAGGAAGGGTCACTCACAGGAAGGGTCACCTCATCCCCAGCTCCTGAGAGGTGGCACCCACAGCAGGGTGCTCTGCACTGACCCACGGGCACACACTGGCACTGCTGAGGCCAAACCCTGAGTGCTGGGCCCAGCTCTGGGCCCTCAGCTTGGGAAGGACATTGAGGAGCTGGAGCACATCCAGAGGGGGCAGCGAGGCTGGGGAGGGGCTGGGAACACAAACCCTGAATACTCATACAACCCTGAATACTAATACAAACCCTGAACCCTCAATACTACTGCTAAATACTCATTTTGCACCAGTCTGAATTGTCTGGTGTTCCTTTCTTCACCAAAATCTGGAATTCTGGGCACATCAGCACACCCTCTGCCTGCCCTGGCAGAGCCAAACAATGACCACTTTTAGTGCATTAAACATCAAGATTTTGGATTGTGAAAATCCAATTGCTAAACAGGAAGTTGTCTTTGGGTTTAGTAGGTGAAAGGGAAAAAAATCTGCCAGTTTTTTTTTACAAAAGCAAGGGAAAAAGTGTCAAAGTTTAAATGGACTTGCAAAAGGTAAATACTTCACAACATAAGATACAAACAAGTAAAAAAAATTTAAAACTATTGAAAAAGGAACAAGTAATTTAAATGTGTCCAATTTCGATAACTGCTGGGTAAATCATTCAAAACAGAGTTTCTAGGTAACTGATTACAAAAAAAAACTAATTGAATTTTTTCCTAAACTGAAAGCTGCTTTGGGGGGTCAATTATTCTGACAGTTAACTTAAAAAAATTGGCTCTGAACAGTCTAAAAGCAATAAACTTAAAAGGACTTAATCTTTCATAGTATCCAGGAGTTAAATGTATAAAACAAATAAATTCATTTCATAATAAACAGTTCCTAATTTTCTTTTAATTTTGACTTGAATTTATAATTTAAAACCAAAACATGTAGTATTAAATTGACTAAAAATAAATAACTGGCTCCTGGTTACTATTCTTTTAACAACTTAACTTTTCTTTTTGTTAATACAATTACAAAACACCCAAAACCAAAACACAAAAAACAAAACAAAACAAAAAAAACAAAAACAAAAAAAACCTGAAAAAAAATCAAAATAAAAACCACAAAAAAACCCCAAAACAAACAAAAACACAACGAAAAAAAAAAAAAACAAACAAAAAGAAGATAAAAAGTGCTAAGCCATAAGTATGCTCTAGTAATGGAGTTCCATGTGCAGGATGCTTGGAATGACTGCAAATTCCAAGCTGCAAACTCCAGCCTGGCTGGCAGCTGCTGAGAGAGAGGAAATTTCTGGCTGCAGGGATGGTGCTGATGACAGCACTGGGCAAGTGACTCCAGACACAAGGACACCCAGTGCAGACACCAGCTCCTCTCCCAAATGCACAATTCAGCCTCAAATAACTCCAAAATCAGGATTCAGACCCAACAGTGCTGGAGCTACTCTGGATTTGCACCACAGAATATGAAACAGGGCTTTGGGCTTTCAAATCTGCCACTCAATTATGCAGAGTATTGTCCACAAATGTGCATTCACAGAATTTCCATGAATTCACAGCTGCTCCTGCTTTTTGGGAATAGCCATAAAGTGATTTCTGATCACACAAATATTCATGGAAAGGGCAACCACTGGGAACTCTTCTATTTCCAAGCAGAAGACCAGGATTTGCAGGTATGACTGAGTGCAGCAGGGTCTGGGTTCAAAATCCAACTTTTGGATTATTTTGGAGTGGAAGAGTGGAACAAAAAGATCAAGTTTAAAAAAAAGAGATGTTTTATGGGGCTTTTGCAGAGAGATAAATAATCTAAACTGAGCAGCCTGCCTGGAGAAGCTGAGGATGCTCCCTGAGGCCCTGGAAGGAGGAGCTGGTGTCCTTCCCACTGTCACCCATCAGCTGCAGGAATTACTAAAGTAATTAGGGAGCAGCCTGAAGGATCCAGGATCTGCTGGCTCTGTCCTCAAGCAGTTAATGAAATTCCTTCTGCTCTCTCAGGTCTCTTTAGGGATGCTGCAAGGAATTTTTGCTGAGGAGAGGGAAGGACAGCACTGCAGAGGGAGAGGCACAGGCAATGAGGGCTTGGGAGCAAGGCACAGGTACCTAACACAGAACTCTGCTTTCCAGAGGCTCTGTGCTCAGGGATGATGTTTGTATGTGTATTTTGATTGTTTTTGTTATTCCCCAGGCTCCAAACTGCCCTCAGCTGTCCCAAATAACCATTTGGAGTGCATCTCCCTGTTTAATACTGAGGGGCCAGCAGGTGATGGAATAAAGCAGCTGTGAAGAGCTGTTGTGAAATGTTAATGGAATAATGAGCAGGATAAGGGTGAGAGAGGAGCAGGAACAGGATTGTGCTGCTTCCAGGGGCTGCAGTGCAAGGGAGGTGCCTGAGGGAAGGCTGAGTGCCAGCAGCTCCAGGGTGCTCTGCACTGACCCACGGGCACACACTGGCACTGCTGAGGCCAAACCCTGAGTGCTGGGCCCAGCTCTGGGCCCTCAGCTTGGGAAGGACATTGAGGACCTGGAGCACATCCAGAGGGGGCAGCGAGGCTGGAGAGGGGCTGGGAACACAAACCCTGTGAGGAAGCCCTGAGGGAGCTGGGGGTGCTCAGCCTGGAGCAAAGGAGACTCAGGGCTGCCCCCATCACTCTCACAGCTCCTGAAAGGTGCCTGTGCTCAGCTGGGGCTGGGCTCTGTCTCCAGCAGCACTGACACAACCAGAGCACACAGCCTCGAGCTGTGCCAAGGGAAATTCAGGTTGGATAGCAGGAAAAAGTTTTTTACAGAAGGAGTGATAAAGTTCTGGAATGGCTGCCCAGGGAGGTGGTGGAGTCCCCATGCCTGGGTGTGTTTAACAAAGCCTGGATGTGGCACTGGGTGCCAGGGTTGAGTGGAGGGGTTGGGGCTGGGTTGGACTCGATGGTCTTGGAGGTCTCTTCCAACCCAGTGATTCTGTGTGTCATGGGCAGGCAGAGCTCTGTCCCCATCCTGCCACTGCCACCCCTCATTTCCAGCTGCTCTGCTCTGCCTCAGCAGCCTGGGAGGATTTCCAGAAGAAATCAGGGAGCAGGGCCTGGTACCTAACACAGAACTCTGCTTTCCAGAGGCTCTGTGTCATGCATGTTGTTTGTGTGTGTATTTGGATTATTCCCAGCTGGGCATTCAGCTCACAGGACTTCCTCAGGAGCTGGAGATGAAGGTTGATGCTCCTCTGAGGGAACTTAGGCTGAGCTCAGCCAGCTGCCAGGTGGACAAAACCCATCCTGGGTGTCCAGGGACAGGACCATGACCCAGCCAGGGCTGCTGGGATAAAAATGGGCTAAAGCAGAGGGCAGAAGGGTTTGCTTGAGAAACTTACACAGGGAATCTCCAAAGGTACAGGGGTAGGCAGGTCTATCTAACTTTATTTATTCAGCACATTGAATGCTGCCTCTGACTGATTCTGCTCTGCTCAGCCTGGCTGAATTATGGAAGAAAAGCTTGGAAAGGGATCCCAACCCCAGAGTGAAGAAACACTGAGCTGGAGTTTGCAGTTCAGGGAAGGAGTGGGATGGAGGGAGAGCAGGGGGTACCAAAGAGCCTCTGGGAGACCACAGTTAATCCAGGGCTGATGGCTTTTGCTGGGTTTAGCTATTACCCCTGACATTCCAAACAAATATCTTATATCCACATGCTTTCCTTCCCCCCTCACTGCAGGACTAACAGGAAATATTCCAGCTGAGTATTCCACAGGCAGCTCCAGTCCCAAAGCAAAGCAAAACCAACATTCCCAGGGCTCATATCCGGAGCTGCTCCCTGGCAATACCTGTCTCTGAGCCCTTCCTTTGATGAGCAGGAAAATCTTATGCAAATTTTATGCAATTCTTAATCCCCCATGATGGGCAATATCCTGTGAGGTGAGCACTGAACCTGCCTCACATCTGGGCAGTTGATCCTGCAGAGCTCTCAGGACAGGCTTCCCTTGAGATTCTTTTTCTGTCTTAATCCAGAAATTGTCATCACCCCCTTTCCCTTCCTTTTTATCTACTTTTGGGGTCATAACACTGAAATACATCAGCCAGGCCTTGCTGAGATCTGGGGAATTCTGGATCAGGGGGAGCCCACACTGTGCAGGACAAGGCTGGAAATGAAATCTGTGAGGGTCACCTGCAGCTGGAGCAGCCCCAACTCTCCTGAGTTGGGAAACACCTGAAAACATTCTTTTCTAATTATTTTAAACCATTTTAAATTATTGTTTTTAAAAAACGCAGGTAGAAAACAGCTGCAAAATTCAGCTTTAAATCCAAGCATTGCATGTGCCAGAGCTGCAACTCTGTGGGCAGGGGCTGGAGAACACAAAGGGCACACCCAGATGTGGCACAGCCTGGGCACACACAGATTTTAATTCACAGAAATATCTGTCTTATCAGCATTTTTACCCCCTAGCAATAAATCTTTTGTTCTAGTTTTCCTTAATACCACAGCATTGGTTTTTAATTTGATTTTTAGTGATGCATATATTGGTCAGCAAAGTAAAACACCTGAGAAGGAAGGACTCCCCCTTTCCTAAATTCCACAGGTTTTTGGGGGCTTGTTTGCCCTCCCTAAGCAGGAAGAAACACCCAGGAATTTCAATTCCAGCACTGACCAGGACAAGGAATGGCTTTACCTGGAAGACTGTGAGGATGGCAGCAGGGAAGGTATCGAAATTCGTGGTTGGAGTTTCATCTTGGAAATTGAACCTGGAGAGAAGGGAGAAATAAAAACCAGAGTGGGGAGGGACAAGCAGCTCCAGGCAGCCCTGGAACACCCTCTAACACCCCATAAACCAAGTCAGGGAGCAACATTTGTTCCACCTGGCTGGAACACCCCAGGCAAGCTCGGTGAGGAACATCTCAGAAGGTGCTTAACAGAACCATCAGCAAAAACTCAATTTCATTCCCAGAGAAAATGCCAATGCTTTGAAATTCATTTTCATCCCCAATTAAAATGAACAATCAAAATCTGCAATGATTTTGCAGAATGAGCCATTCCAAGAAGTTTTTATTCCTCAAGTGTAAAAGCCCAAATTGAAATGACTCTCTTAGCAGATAATTTCTTTTTACCATTTTAAAGATAAAATAGGTATTGACTGGGAAAATAAAAGACCAAACAAAACCATTTCATTATTTCAGTTCAGAAGTGAGGCTGGAGTTAAATGGTAACACTGTGATGGTTCTTACTGCAAAATTCACCATTGCTGGCATTTCTAATGAGAATAATCAGATCCAACCAAACTGTGTTTTCCAGCAGGAAAATATTCCAGAGTGCCATTATGTTTTATATTTGGATATTATATTTTATAGTGGATAATACAATGGCACTCTGGTTACCAGGGAAGGGACAGTACAGAAGGTGCTGCCTCCAGTCCTGGTTCAGCTCTGGGTGTCCTGGGCACCAGGGGATGATGGGGGAGCTTTGAACTGGGGACATTCTCCCTTAGGAAAGAATCCAGCTCCAGGGAAAACACCAGAACAGGAATTATTTCCCTATCCCCAGCCCTGAAATCAGGGATGTGAACCTTGCAGGCAGAACAAAGATTCCTCAGACTCACTATTAGAACCCTAGTTATTAAAAATTTTTAATTTTCTGGAGTAACAGACACTAACCCCCAATAGAACACTACATTTGACCTAAAGCTGTAAAAAAACCTTGCATTATAGTATCCTTCCTTAAATAATAAAAGTAAGATTATGAGTGTGTAGTTTAAATAAGTGTGTAATATCACAAACTAAAAAACTTAAGAGTTTAAAGTTTTAGAATATATATATATATTATATAAAACAAAATAAAGGTTTTAAGACAGAAGCTAGTCCTCCTTCTTCACCTCCTACTTCATAAGTTTAAGTAGTATTATGTCATTAAATAAATAATCCACATTACAAAACACAAGTAGTTAGTTATTGAGTTAAAAATAAAAATAATTTAACTGTCATTTCTTAATTAGACAGTTTTTCCTTAAAAGACCTTGTAAAAAAAGAGATACAACTCCATTTTTTAGTTAGTTAAAGAAAAGTACTATATAACTCACAACTTAAAAAACTATAGCATAAATAAAAATGAATAAACATCTAAGTCCAAACAAAAAATGCAGTTTCACAATTTAATCCTGGCTTTAAGAAAGAAAAGAAAAAAAAAATCAACAACTTACTGCCCTCCAAAGAGCTGCATCCCCAGCAGAGCAAAGACCACGATGAACAGGAACAGCAGGAAAAGCAAACTGATGATGGACTTCATGGAGTTCAGCAAGGAGACCACCAGATTCCTCAGGGAATTCCAGTACCTGTGTTGGATCAGAACAGCCAGGGGAGAACATGAGTGGGGAAGAGCCTTTGGGGAGCAATTTATGAATAGGAATTTGTTTTCCATGTGTCTCAGGTGTAGCTGGGTGTGTGTTCTATCCCCACCTGTCAGAGCTGGGGCAGTTCTCTGCTGTCCATGGGCAGTTTTTTCTTGATCTCTCCCACAGCCAATCCTCCCTGCAGGAGATCTCTGCTGTCCATGGCCACTGAGTGTCCCTGCAGGGCTGATCCAATTCCAGCATCCCATGGGGAGATGCTGCATTGCCCAGGGCAGGAGCCAAGCATTCCTACCTGGATCCAATCTGAGGTTTGGGACACCATACACAGCCTTTCCACTGCATTCCCAGAGGAACAGCAGCTGCCTTTTCCACTGGATTTTCAAAGGAAAACTCCCCCCTTGTGCAGGATCCCTGCTCCAGCAGAGCCACAGCTGGCACTGCAGGAGGGCTGAGCCCCCATGGGATGGGGCTGTGCCACCCCCTGACACACAGGGGGCAGGGCCTGTTCTGACTCTGGCAGTGGCTTGTTTTCTTTATTTGTACTATTACATTTGTATTTTTAATTTTCCTAGTAAAGAACTGTTATTCCTAGTCCCATATCTTTGTCTGAGAGCCCCTTAATTTCCAAATAATAATAATTTGGAGGGAGGGGGTTTACATTTTCCATTTCAAGGGAAGCTCCTGCCTTCCTTAGCAGACACCTGGCTTTTCACTCAGGCACTGGGATAATGCAGGATTCCCCCTGGGAGCTGCAGGGACCTGGCTCTGGTCACGCAATGAACCCAATTCTGTCATGTGGGATGAAAAATCCACTTAATTAAGGCAGAGGAACTTCAGCATCAGTGGCTTGAGAGTGTCACTTGCTGTCCTGAGAAGGGGCAGAGCCCTCAGCTTGGTTTGTGAGGTTAAATCTCTTTTCCCAAGGAATGAGCAATAACAAGAGGGAACGGCCTCAAATGGCCCCACACAGGTTTAGGTTGGGTATTGGGAAAAATTTCTTCATTAAAATGTTTGTCAAGCCCTGGCCAGGCTGCCCAGGCAGTGGTGGGGTCTCACTGTCCCTGCCAATGTGGCACCTGGGGACATGGGTGAGTGGTGGCCTTGGAAAGACTGGTTGGACCCAATGGCCTTGAAGGTTTTTTCCAACCTAAATAATTCCATCTTTCATCCCTTTATCATGCTGACTGCAATCAGTGGTCAGAACTCACAAAAATAAAATTGAAACTTGCAAAAACATTCAAAATATTTACAAAGTATTGCACCCAATCAGCAAGAGCAGATCTCAGCAGCTCTGGGTAAAATGAACTGCTGAAAATTGCTCTGCATTTGCTGCAAGCCCAGGAGTTTCCCACACATAAATCAGTGCAAAGGTAAAGCACAATGACATTTTTGGTGCAGGTTCCCACCTTTCTTGCTGAACATTTACAGAACTTAAAAGTTTCCACTCTGTTTTTCCCAGAGGACAACAAATGACCCAGTACCACACACAAACCTGGGGTCTGAATAATAATAATTAGAAATAAACAATGAGCAGGTACAAATCAGCCCCAGAGAGCTACAAAACTCAGTCCTGCTTGCTTCAAATGTTTTGCTCAGATTTTATCTATTTAAGGTGGTTGGGTTATTTTTGGAGGGAGGGGCTGTCCCTGCTCCTGTTACTTCAAGCTACGAAGAATTCAGGGAGTGATGGAATCAAGGGAGCACTGAAGAGGTAATGGTGTAAAAAATAAGGTGGAAAACAACAGCAGGAGCACCTAAATTTGTCATCAATTTCCACAGCAATCCTACAGAAACGGCTCTGGATGGGTTTGGAGATGGCACAGGAGCTGTTTGCTAATGCCAGCACACATTAACTCAAGGCAGGAGCACAAAAACAACAGAAAAGCTGTGGGAACCTGAGTGAAAATTCCACCTCAGAGTCTCCAGGCTGAAAAACTCCAACATTCCCAGCCCAGGCAGCAGGAACACATTTCAGATTTGTGTCAGCACAGCAGCTCAGCCCCGGGATTAGCACCCAGCAATCCCCAGGGAAGCTGCTTTTCCAGAGCCTGGATACTTAAGGAATTGTCATTGGATCAGTGGGAAGTTGATAGGACTTAAAAAGAAAATAAAAAACTTGGGGTTTTTACCACAAAATATGAGTGACAACACAATATTCTTTTTAAAACAAGCCTAAACATAAAGCAAAGATGGACATTCTAAGTTGATGAAGAAAGAAAAACTGAAGGAACTGTCATTGGATCAGTGGGAAGTTGATAGAACGTAAAAAGAAAATAAAACTTGGGATTTTTACCAATTGATATTTTTATAAAAATATAAAAACCATGGGATTTTTATAAAATACAAGTGATAACACAATAATTTTGTTTTAAACAAGCCTAAAGATAAAGCAAAGAAGAACATTCTGCTGTCAGCCCACTGAGAACCAAGGGCAGACAAACCTGGACGTGAGGCTGAGGAGAGAAAGGGCTCTTAGAATCCCTTCTGGGTGTAAATCCAGGCTCAGGAATTCCCAAAATTTCCAATTGCCCAGCCAAAGAAAGGGGAATTCTGCATCTGCAGATTCAATCTGCTCCTGTCCCCCCCTCCCTTGGAGGTTGGGGCAGGCAGGGATTTTGTGCCAGCTGCCCCAGGGAGTTGGGGCATTGGTTTTTTTTGGATAATTTTTAACTTTTTAGCGATTTAATTATTATTTTATTGTTGATACATGTGGAAAGCACTCCTCCTGGCCCTGGGGCTGGGCACAGGGATTTCCTGGGCTGCTCAGAGTGCCAAGGGAGCTGCACTTACTTGGTGACTTTGAAGATCCTCAGCAGCCGCAGGGCGCGCAGGACGCTGATGCCAAAGGAGGTGCCCGGCTTCACTGCAGCCCAGATGACCTCAAAGATGCTGCCCACGATCACCTGCAGGGAGACACCACCTCAGAGAGGGCATCTCGGGTTTTCTGGGCTTGAAAAGGTATCAGAAAGTCTCTTTTTTCCCAGCCCCAAGACCCAAGAAGTTGAGATTCATCGGTTCTGCTTCTCAAGGTTGTTTATTTTTCCTTATCTATTATATTTGACCTGCTGAGGTCTGTCCAGCAGGTCGGGTTGTGGCACAGTCCCTGCCCTTGGGGTGGTGTTAACTTTTTATACTAAGAACTACCTGTGCTTTATTTACAATAATTTTCCAATACCCATCACCTATGTTAGACAGTCTGTCTCTAAACCAATCCAAAAGTGCCACCATCACAGCAGAAGATGGAGGACAAGAACAAGAATAAAGAGGACAGAACACACCCAGATTCCTCCATCTTTCCTCTTGAACCCCCATTCTAAATCCCCAAAATTCTACATTTTCACCCAGTGATAAATTCACTATCATTCTACTTAAGCTCCTGTGGCTTGTAACTCCTCACACACAGTTGGGAATTGTTTCCATGGGCTAAAATCAAAGGCCCAGGTGGTTTTGACTCCATGCCAAGGTCTCTGAGCCCCCTGCCAGGGTCTGGAGTGCTCCAGGGCAGCCAGAGCAATGTCCTGGGTTCCAACAAGGGCACAGCTGCTGCTGAGCTCCCTGGGGTGCTCAGGAACCAGAGTTCAGGCTGTTCAGGAGAGCCCTAAATTAGCCAGGAGAATTGGAAAACCCCACCCCAGCTTTCTCCATAGCCAGGAGGAGAACAGCCTGTGATTTATACACAGAGTGGAACTTCTTGCTTTCTTCTCTAGCAATCAAACTACCTTAAAATACCTTTTTTTTTGAAGGACACTGTGATTTTTAATAATATTTTTTAATGCTGGCTCAACTACAAATGCCAGCAGCTGATGGGACTCAGAAAATAAAATTTGGAGTTTTTACTACAAAATACAAGTGATAACCTGAGATTTCTGCTTTAAACAAGCTTAAAACCAAAGCAAAAAAGGACATTCTCCTGTCAGCCCACTGTCACTCCTTTCCCCACCCCACACAACCTGCAGAGGTGCAGGAGGGCACTGCCCCATCCTCCCCTTGCCATCAGAAAGACTAAAACTCCTCATCCACAGCAGAACAGCAGCTCTGGGCAACATCTACCAGAAACTCCTGGCAGCTGAGAGTCTTTAGGAGAGCAATTAAAGCAATAATTATTATGAGATCCTGCAAAGCCTCTGGCACAGCCATCCCATCATCTGCCTGGCCTTCAGCCTGGGGGTGCTGAAAAAATTGTCCCAAATCAAGGGGGGGCTTTTCAAATTTTGGTTTTCTGGTTGGTTTAAGGATGGCAGAGAATTCACCTCAAGGAAGGAAAAAATCTTCTCAGAAATCCTTCATTAGGAAAAGGACAAACAGTGATGGGTTCAGCACAGCTGGGAAGGACAATTAAACCCACACAGGTTTCTGCAGAGTTAATAGGATCAAACAGGCATTTCCCTGCCAATTGCTGGCATAATTCACATTAACCCAACATTTCTGAGCTTCCACTGCCCGTGGGCCCCAGCTGGGCAGAGCACACCATAAACACCAGTTCAGAACTGGTTCTCACCAGAGCCCAGCTGGTTTGTGCTGTGGGAGGGAGGATTAACGGGGGCAGCAGCACTGGGAACCCCTTTGTTACAAAAAGTTCAGGAGAACCCTAAATTAGCCAGGAGAACTGGAAAACTTCACCCCAGCTTTCTCCATAGCCAGGAGGAGAACACCCAGTGATTTATACACTGAGAGGAGCTTGCTGCTTTCTTCTCTAGCAATCAAACTACCTTAAAACATCTTTTTTTGAAGGACACTAATTTTTAATTAGAACTTTTTAATGCTGGCTCAACTGCAAATGCCAACAGTTCCTTTTCCCACCTTTTCATGACAAAAACTTGGATGTCTCTGAAAATTCCATCACTGCTGAAGTGTCCTGCAACACACACTGTGCCCTGAGCTTCCAGAAAATACACAGGGAAAGGGAGATCCACAACAGTTGATAATTCCAGTATCTGCTACCTGAAGAAGAAGGAACTAAAACTTCTCTCCCACCACTGGGAATCCCTCATTGCCTCAGGTGTAGCTGGGTGTGTGTTCTGTCCCCATCTGTCAGAGCTGGGGCAGTTCTCTGCTGTCCATGGGCAGTTTTTTCTTGATCTCTCCCCCAGCCAATCCTCCCTGCAGGAGATCTCTGCTGTCCATGGCCACTGAGTGTCCCTGCAGGGCTGATCCAATTCCAGCATCCCATGGGGAGATGCTGCATTGCCCAGGGCAGGAGCCAAGCATTCCTACCTGGATCCAATGTGAGCCTGGCACAGCACAGCAGCCTTTGCCCAGTGCATTCCCAGAGGAGCAGCTTCTGCTGCCCTGCATGGCCAGAGGGAGCCCAGGCCCATCTGCAGCAGCCCTGGAGCTGCAGAGGAAAACTCCCCCCTTGTGCAGGATCCCTGCTCCAGCAGAGCCACAGCTGGCACTGCAGGAGGGCTGAGCGCCCATGGGATGGGGCTGTGCCACCCCCTGACACACAGGGGACAGGGCCTGCTCTGACTCTGGCAGTGGCTTGTTTTCTTTATTTGTACTATTACATTTGTATTTTAATTTTCCTAGTAGAGAACTGTTATTCCTATTCCTATATCTTTGGCTGAGAGCCCCTTAATTTCATAATAATTTGGAGTAAAATGTAAATAATTACATTTTCCATTTTACAGGAGGCTCCTGCCTTCCTTAGCAGACACCTGTCTTTTCAAACCCAGGCACTCATGAATCAGCAAAAACCTTTCCTCAGCCCCTGTACATGGCACTGATAATTAATTTTCCTTAGCAGCCCCTCCTGGGAGCCTGGTTCCCACTGGACTGCTGCTCCCCAGGCAGATGTTGCTCTGGTTTGTTGTTTCACCCTTTGAGCTCGCACGGTTCCATCTCAATGGTTTGTCAGACAAAACTGGGTACAGAGCTCTGTGATGTTCCAGTGCTGAACTCGTTCTGGGGGCTGGAAGGTGGGTGAGGGAGGGAAAAACACAGACAGAAGGAGGATCCCTATGGATTCTCTGAAGGAGGAGGAATTAGCAACAGATCAACAGCTTTCTCTCCTGGGAAAGCCTCGGCAGAGCTCCCTGCCAGGGCTGCACAGCCCACAAAGCTCAGACACCTCCTAAGCACAGCAGCTTTTGCCTTGTGCAAGCTCCTAAATCACCTGTCCCTGACAAGCTTCTGTTGTGGAAGGAGCATCCTGGATTTGGGTATCCAAGGAAATTGGCAGCCAGCCTGGGGGGCAGCTCAGAGCCCACCCAGTGCAGGACATCGACCCTTGTGCTGCCCAAGGTGGATCCACTGAGGCTTTTAATAAATCCCTACTTTATTTCTCTCCAGACTCTGTTCTAGGGCAGCCTTCACAAGGCATCAGTGACACCCCTAAAGGACAATTTATGGACAGTCTGGGTCTGGAGTGTCACTGGCCTTTGTGCTGTGCAGGACAACCCATCCTGTCACTGTCACATTTTCAGAAAAATCCCCTTGCCCAGGATTCTTCTCCTGGGAAGCTGAGAAGCCTCAGAGAAAAAGGAAAACAATATGATCTCATTTGCTTCTCCTGTATTTTGCTGCTTTGGAATGTGATTGGAGATTGTTTATCCAACATGTGAATTGTTTTTACTTAATGACCAATCACAGTCCAGCTGTGTCGGGTCTGGAAGGAGTCAGGAGTTTTTCATTAGTATCTTGTTAAGCCTTCTGTCTATATCCTTTCTCTATTCTTTAGTATAGTTTATTATAGCATTCTTTAATATAATATAGTAACATAAAATAATAAATTAGCCTTCTAAGAACATGGAGTCAGAGTCACCATTTCCTCCCAATGATGAGGACCCCAAAATACCACAGATCATCCCAACCCTCTGAGCCACCATGACAGTATAGGGATAAAATGTTTCTAAAATCATGGGATATTCAGGAGGGGTTGGAAAGAAAGGTCAGGCCTGATAGGCCCTGGGAAAATGTTAGGCTTTACTGCATCATGCAAAACTGCACCTGTATAATCATTTAATGGCTATGATAAATGACCTGATTGTTAAATGCAATGATTGTTTGGTGATTGGATATAATTATTGTTTAATCATAACGAGAATAATGAGAAACGATGTTTGGGGGGTTTGATGGAAATTACAAAATCCATGCTTGGATGAAATCAATGTATACAATAGAACAATATCAGTTTAATAATTAATATATAGTTATATAATGATAAGGGTATTAAAAAGTATTAATCCTGTGAAAAATGCGTATTTTATGATTGGCTTTTCACAAATATTAAAATGAATATTGTATGTGTTATGTTAGAAAGTTACGCCGGATTCATTTTCTTAAGTAGGGTGTTAAATATCGTTTTAGGTTATAACAATGTTAAAATAGAAACTATGCTATGTAAGATACTTTTTTTAAAGAAAGGACTCGCAGTGAGGTAGCAGCCACAGGACACCTGAATCTTTCAGAGAAAGAGAATTTATTGCTCCCTTATCAGAAGAAACGAACTTCTTCCTGCCTTGCTCTGCCCTGAAGAGCCATCAGGATTCAGAGGAAGAAGCTGACACTGCCCAGACAGAATCCTGTGTTTGAATGGAATTTATGCATCATGGATGAGGTGTATGAATATGTAACAGGCTGTTGTTTTTAAGGGTTAATCCTCTGTTAACGTGGGCCCTTTTTGGGCTTATTTTGCCCAGAAAAAGGTACCCAGACAGTTCATAACTCTTTGTTTCCATTGTCTCATATTGTCCTAATCCTAATTGTCCAGATTTTTATTACTCTAATTATATTACTATTTTTATAACTATTTTATTACTATTAAACTTTTAAAATTTTAAAAACAAGTGATTGGCCTTTTTCACAATCCTGAACCCATGTTGGAGTCAGATTTGGTTCTGTACCCCTGTACCTCTGTACCCAGAGCTCTTCAATAAAATCACCTGCATGTAATCATTCTGTGATTATGTGCTCCTGAACAACCCCAGCTGCCAGGACACCCCAAAACCAGAGCCTCACATCTGGGACAGCCTCGTGCAACACCCGGGGCTGCTGGACACGGGTGGGTGATTGAATCTCAAATTCTATTTACTCTGAGCTTTGCTGCTGTCCTGGCCACAAAGAGAATAAATTGGCTCTACTCAGGGCCTTGGATTTAGGAGGGTCACTCGCTGAAGGTGACAACAGCTCCTCCTCCCTTGTGGGAGCAGGGGAATTTGGCTTCATGGAAGAAGAGTCACTCCCAGCATTTTGGCAGGTAAAAGCCAGAAAGAGCAGCCTGAATGTCAGAGCAGGGCTGGCTGAGGAGGGCAGTGACCTGAGCTGTTGCAGTGTGATTTCAGGGTTTACCCCAGAACCCCAGGTTTCTCTCCCAGGTGTGTCAGTCTCCTCTCCTTTCCCCTCCCAGCACTGTCACTCCTGGCATTCCAGAAGGGCACTGAGTGATTGGCAGATCCAAAGGATGCCCTCTACCCCTGGGGAGCACGGGGCCATCCAGGTGTCCTTTGTCCCTTTGTCCCTCCCCTCCTGTCCCTGCTTGGTGGCTCCCTGCCCCTTCCCTGCCCTCTCCCCGGGGTTAAAGGAGCAGCAGCCACGGGCTCAGGGAGTTCTGTTGGAGCTGGTGCTGCATTCAGAGGCCAGAATAAAGCTCTGGATCCAAACCCTCCATCAGAACCGACTCCTTTCCTTCACCATTGCCTTAAAGCTTCTCCACAGAGGGAAACCTGAGGAGCAGCCCCTGTTATGGGGGAAGCTCCATCCCAGCACCACCAGAGCTCCTGCAGGCCTGGACTTGTCTGCAGGGCCCAGCTGCAGCACCCAGCCAGGCAAAAGTGTCTGTGGGGTGAAACACCACACACCCAGGGAGCCAAAAGTGTCTGTGGGGTGAAACACCACACACCCAGCCAGCCAAAAGTGTCTGTGGGGTGAAACACCACACACCCAGGGAGCCAAAAGTGTCCCTGGGGTGAAACACCACACACCCAGCAGCCAAAAGTGTCTGTGGGGTGAAACACCACACACCCAGGCAGCCAAAAGTGTCCCTGGGGTGAAACACCACACACCCAGCAGCCAAAATGTCTGTGGGGTGAAACACCACACACCCAGCCAGCCAAAAGTGTCTGTGGGGTGAAACACCACACACCCAGCCTAAAGTGTCTGTGGGGTGAAACACCACACACCCAGCCAGGCAAAAGTGTCTGTGGGGTGAAACACCACACACCCAGGCAGCCCAAAGTGTCTGTGGGGTGAAACACCACACACCCAGCCAGCCCAAAGTGTCTGTAGGTGAAACACCACACACCCAGCAGCCAAAAGTGTCTGTGGGGTGAAACACCACACACCCAGCAGCCAAAAGTGTCTGTGGGGTGAAACACCACACACCCAGGCAGCCAAAAGTGTCTGTGGGGTGAAACACCACACACCCAGCAGCCAAAAGTGTCTGTGGGGTGAAACACCACACACCCAGGCAGCCTAAAGTGTCTGTGGGTGAAACACCACACACCCAGCCAGCCTAAAGTGTCTGTGGGGTGAAACACCACACACCCAGCCAGGCAAAAGTGTCTGTGGGGTGAAACACCACACACCCAGGCAGCCAAAAGTGTCCCTGGGGTGAAACACCACACACCCAGGCAGCCAAAATGTCTGTGGGGTGAAACACCACACACCCAGCAGCCAAAAGTGTCCCTGGGGTGAAACACCACACACCCAGGCAGCCAAAATGTCTGTGGGGTGAAACACCACAGTGCTGCTGTTTGGTTCAGCACAGGGGCCAGACAAGCCAAGGCAGGTCCTGTCCTGCTGTATTGGTAGTACCAATACTGAGCCCTCTCCCTGAGCCCGTGGCTGGATCTAAAGCTCCATATCTGGGTTGTTGCAACAGCCTGAGTCCTGCTCAGCCCACTGCAGATAAGAGAGGGGAGTTCTCCTCTGAGCACAGATTACAGCTAATAGCTTTTAATGAATAAATTAACATCCACACTCCAGGCTCTCTGACAGGTGGAGCCAAACCCAGCCCTGCTATTCACACCAGAGCTGCAGTCTGAGCCTGGATTTCTGCACTGAAAGAATTTGAATTATCGCCCTGCTGTCACCTCATCAGGTGTTCACTCTGCTGCTCCTGGTGATGTCTGCAAAGCTCTGCCCGTGTGACTCCAGGTGAAGGCTGCTCAGTGGGTGACACGAGCAGGAAGATGTGTGGGTTTGTTTTTTTTTTTGTCTTTCAATCAGCTCATTGCAATGGGAGGGACAGAATCTGCCGGCAATCAGAGCACTCTGGGGTGCTGATGCTGCCAACAGCCCGGGGCTGCAGGAAATGAAATCCCCCGGCTGTCACTTCCCTTCCAAAAGGAGGATAACGAGGGAAGCTTAATGCATTTCACTGCTAATTTATACAGGGACTGCTCCCCCCAGGAGCACTTCCCGTGCATTTCCATACTCATCCTCAAACACCCAGCACCTGAATGACAGGACAGACACCTGCTCGTCACAGGGAGGGCTTTCAAGGACACGGAGGGACAGGATTGGATGGGATATTGGGAATTAGGAATTCTTCCCTGTGAGGGTGGAGAGGGGTTGGAATGGAATTGCCAGAGCAGCTGGGGCTGCCCCATGATCCCTGGCAGTGCCCAAGGCCAGGCTGGACAGGGTTGGGGTAACCTGGGGCAGTGGGAGGTGTCCCTGCCCATGGCAGGGGGTCAGAATTAGATGATTTTAAGGCCCCTCCCACCCCAAACCACCCCATGATTTATCCACCCTGTGTCACAGACATATTTTATGAAAAATCCTTTCCTTAAGATATTTTCCCCTGAGAAGCTGAGAGGCCTCAGGAGCAAACTGTAACCAATGGTTATCTGCTGCTGTGGAATGCAACAGGTGCATCTGGGATTGGGCTCATGTGGTTGTTTCTAATTAATGGCCAATCACAGTCAGCTGGCTTGGACTCTCTGGTCAGTCACAAGATTTTATTATCATTCCATTCCTTTCCTTTCAAGCCTTCTGATGAAATCCTTTCTTCTATTCTTTTAGTATAGTTATATCATTTTCTTTTAATATAATATATATCATAAAATAATAAATCAGCCTTCTGAAACATGGAGTCAAGATTCTCATCTCTTCCCTCATCCTGGGATCCCTGGGAACACCATCACAGCCCTGCTGGACATTACTCACCCCAAAGTCAAAGCAGTTGAATGAAGAGTGGAAGTAATTCCTTGGCCCCAGCCCATACATCTTCAGAGACATCTCAGTGAGGAACAGCCCCAGGAAAACAAACTCTGCGAAATCTGGGAACAGGAGAAGAGATTAAATTAATCCTTGCTGGGCAGAGCTCTTCATGCAGGGAATTTTTATTCCTTTCTCACAGCACCAAGGGCCTGCTGGTGGAAGGAAATCCCTGTGAAATGGCAAACAGGGGCCAGGCACAGTTTGGCACAATTTTCTCTGTGTATGTCCATGAGCTGTGTGAAGGCAATGCTCACCTGTATCCTTGGGTGAGAAAAGGAGCATTAAATCATATGCTCATTGTCTCTGTAAAGGAATTTCAAAGTAATAAGCCCTGGATCTAATATTTTTAAAGGTCAAATTTAATTGCAGAGATGTTTTGGGACTTCTGTACTTTCAAGAGATGGAAACTTTTGGGTGTGGGGTGTAAGTTTCTGTACCATCCTCTGATGATAAAAATACCTTCCTACCCAACAGAAGTGCTGACTCTGAGGGCTCACATTCAGAGGTGTTGTGTCTCCTGTTACCACATTTATTTTTATTATGCCTTTATAGCCCTGTAATTATGGAAGAGCCCCTTCTGTTTCCTTTTTCCTTCACATATCACAGGCTGGGAAACTTTTGATGGGAAAATTTATCACCTATGATGAAACAAAGGGCAGAAGGAACAGAGCTGGAGGCTTCAATTTCCACATCAAGTTTTAAGAACTTGAAGCTACAGCAAACACTGCCTTTGGCATTTTAAGTTTGGATCTGGAGGCCAATAAGCAACAGCAAGAGTGAAATGTTAAAAACAAAACAAAAAAAAAGCACCAAAAAAAAGGCAAAAACCACCTACACTTCCAAGAAAAACCAAACAGCAGAAGGCAAAGCTCTCTCTCTGGAGAAAAGATGAGGAAAAGAATCAAACCTCAAAAGGTGGGGATTAATCACCTTGTTTAGTGCAGCACAGGAGGTTCTCAGAGGCTGCAGCAGAACAGATGCTACAAGAAAGTCTCCTGTAATTTCTATTTTATGATTCCAGGAATGATAAAAAGGAGATGGTGCCAAACTTTATGCAGAAGTACACAGAGACAGAAGAGAGGCAACAGATACAAGGAAAATTTCAGCAGGATGATCCTGGATTCCAGGTGCTTTACACTCTGGGACAGCTCCAATCTCTGCTCTGGGACAGGGACAGGAGCCAGGGAATGGCTGGGGCTGGGCCAGGGCAGCTCAGGCTGGAGAACCAGAGCACACAGCCTCAAGCTGTGCCAAGGGAAATTCAGGTTGGATATTAGGAAGAAGTTTTTCACAGAATGAGAGATAAAGTTCTGGAATGGCTGCCCAGGGAGGTGGTGGAGTCCCCATCCCTGGGTGTGTTTAACAAAGCCTGGATGTGGCACTGGGTGCCAGGGTTGAGCGGAGGGGTTGGGGCTGGGTTGGACTCGATGGTCTTGAAGGTCTCTTCCAACCCAGTGATTCTGGGAATTCTGTGAGCTCAGGGCAAGGTTCTTCCCCCAGAGGGTGCTGGCACTGCCCAGGCTTCCCAGGGAATGGGCACGGCCCCGAGGCTGCCAGAGCTCCAGGAGCCTTTGGGCAGCGCTGCCAGGGATGCCCAGGCTGGGGTTGCTGGGACAGGGGCTGGGCAGGGACAGGGGCTGGGTTTGATGATCCCTGTGCTCCCTTCCAGCTCAGGAGGTTCCATGATTCCACCATTCTCTGACCTCCTGCAATCTGCAGCTTCAGCTGAGTGTGGGGAGAGATTTCCATTCTGCCTTGGATTTCCATTCCCAGCCTTGCACATCCAGAGGAGTGAGCAGAGCTGGCCCAGAGCCATCCTGGGTGTCTTTGGAAATGCCTTGAAAAACGCAGCTTCAATTACTCAAAATAAAAAAGGGGTTTCAAATTTGAAATTTTAAATGAAAGCCAGTCATGGAACACCATGGGCTTAAAGTTCCCTGAAATCCAGGAAGCAATAATGAGACGAAAGAGGCTTTATTAACACCTTAGTGAGGAGCCTGCAAGGACACCTGTGCCAACATTTGCAAAAGGGGAGGAAATGTCAGGAGTATTAATTATCCCACGTGAGCTGCTCTCCTTGAAAACAGCAGCAAGATCATCCAAGGAGACTCCAAGGGCAACCAGCTGAGGAATAAGATAACAAAATCTGAGACCTACAGCCTTTTTCCCAGGAAGAGGCAGATCCTCCCTCTGGGTCTCAGGGCACAGGAGCAGCACAACTTCCTCTCTCCTTGAGCTTGGAGCTTTTGAGGAGAAGCCTCTTCACACCTGACCAAGCTGCAACTTTTCTCTCCTTTCTCACAGGAGGTGCAAGGACTCAGTGAGGAAACTCAGTGTCCAGCACCAAGGATCCCAGAGTAAGGAGATACCCATAATTGTGCTGGAAATCCATCTGACCTTCCATCTGCTCTGGTGGGGCCCTTCCAGCTGCTCAGGGCTGCCTGCAGCTCTGGGACCAGCAGGAGGACCTGGAGCTGCTGGAAGGAGTCACAGAATTCACAGAATTCCCAGAATCACTGGGTTGGAAGAGACCTTGAAGATCATCGAGTCCAACCCAGCCCCAACCCCTCCACTCAACCCTGGCACCCAGTGCCACATCCAGGCTTTGTTAAACACCCCCAGGGATGGGGACTCCACCTCCTCCCTGGGCAGCCATTCCAGAACTTTATCACTCTTTCTGTAAAAAACTTTTTCCTGATACCCAACCTGAATTTCCCTTGGCACAGCTTGAGGCTGTGTGCTCTGGTTGTGTCAGTGCTGCTGGAGACAGAGCCCAGCCCCAGCTGAGCACAGGCACCTTTCAGGAGCTGTGAGAGTGATGAGGGCAGCCCTGAGTCCAGAAAAAACCTGGAGCTGCTCTGGGGCTCTGGAGCATCTCTTGGAGAGCTGGGGGTGCTCACCTGGAGAGGAGAAGCTCCAGGGAGAGCCCAGAGCCCCTGCCAGGGCCTGAAGGGGCTCCAGGAGAGCTGGAGAGGGACTCTGGTGGCACACTCAGCTGGTGGTGCTGACTGGGACAATTTCCAGGTGCAGGGTCCCTATGTCAAGGGTTGATATCCAGCCAATGCTGTGAAACCTTCTTAAATCAGCTGATAAAATCACAGGGAGGGGTTGTGGGTCCTGCAGGAAGCAATGCACAGCCCCATATCTCTGGCAGGGAGATTCTCATCCCCTGATCTCTGCCCCAGCCTCACCTGTGCTGAGTCACAGCTCAGGTGCCCCCCAGATTCTCCAAAGAACAACAAAAATTCTCAGCAGTGTTTTTTAACTGCAGATTTGTACCAACAGACCTCAGGACACTTTGCCAAGACAATTACCATCATCCCAAAGGAGCACAAAAGGAGGAAAGACCAAGGATTAATGTTCAGTCACTGCCCCAGCAGAGACTGAACACACCCTGGGCATCACAAGTGCAAAGTGTCACCATCAGGCTGACACATCCTGCAAATCCAGAATATCACCCAAGAAAAAAGCTAGAAAGTGGCAAAAGAGAATCAAGAAATATTTGATTATATATTTAAAAAATATATATAAAAAGCCAGGAAATGTTTAAAACTCAGAGCATCTAAAAACCAACTTCCTTCTGCTGCTCTTGCAAGAGCCACCCTTGGCCTTTCCCAGCTGATGAATTCCAGAGCAGAGCCCAGACCTGGCAGCAAGAGCTGTGTCCCAGCAGGTACCAGATGCTCCAAATCAGAGCCCAGTGAGGCTGGGATGGAGGGAAGTGGAATTCAGACCCTGAACTCCTCAGGCAGAAGGAATTGGCTCCATGGAGAGGCTGCTGCATCCAACACGTGATTTCTTCTGAGAAGGCCCTGCCTAAATAATTGAAAATGCAATTTTGTTGTTTGGGCCTCCTGGTATTCAAACCTCACCTAATTTCATTTGCCTTACTCCAAAGCATTTTGTGATGTGATTTAAGGAGGAAAGGTTTGATACAAACACTCTTATTTCATTTCCAAGCTGTGCTGTTGGCAGAGGCCATGCAAGCATCCCTTCACCCCACACCTTTGAATTAGGCTCCTAATTAGAGTTAACAGCTCCTTTTTGTCAATCATTTCTGGATTAATTCCATTTCTGCCCCATCTCCAAGTCCAATGGTATCAGAAGCAGGTGCTGAGCCTGACACTTCCCTCTCCTCACTCTGCTCTCACATTAAAAGAACTTCAGCAGGGCAAAACTTTCCCCTTTTTGCCCAAGCAGATGTGAAATGCTCAGCAGACAGAAATAAATATGTTCCAGAAAGCCTTTTCCTGGCAGATCCTGCATATTGGTATCCAGAGGGAGCTGGGGCTTGGCTTCAAAGGCAACAACAGCACCAAAAAAAGGCCAAATTGCCCCAAACATGAGGCTCAGCACTGGGTAGGCTCTCAGGCCATAATGGCTCAAATGCTGTGCTCAAACACTGGATTTATCAAAAGGAAACACTGTGGATTTGGGGCTCAGACCTACACAGATTAAGAAGCCAGGAAGGATCCCTGCAGGATGTGCTGGAGAAAGAAGGGCAGCCCCTGAGTGGAACTGCAGGGACCCAGTGCTGAAACCTCCTCCCCACAGTCCCTAAAATCATCCCACAGACCCTAAACCATCCCATAGTGCCTAAAACCATCCAAATCCCTTAAATCCATCCCACAGTCTCTAAAACCCTTCTGACAGTGCCTGAAATCCATCCTACAGTCCCTGAAACCCATCCCACAGTCCCTAAGATCCATCCCACAGTCCCAAAACCCCATCCCACAGTCCCTAAAACCATCCAAGTCCCTTAAATCCATCCCACAGTCTCCAAAACCCATCTGACAGTCCCTGAAATCCATTCTACAGTCCCTGAAACCCATCCCACAGTCCCAAAACCCCATACCACAGTCCCTAAAACCATCCCACAGACCCTAAAACCATCCCATAATGCCTAAAACCATCCAAGTCCCTTAAATCCATCCCACAGTCTCTAAAATCCATCCGACAGTCCCTGAAATCCATCCTACAGTCCCTGAAACCCATCCAACACTCCCTAAGATCCATCCCACAGTCCCTAAAACCCCATCCCACAGTCCCTAAAACCATC